CGTGAACGTACGTGGGGCACAGGCGCGCTTGAGCGCTGCTATCGCTGCCCTGGGATAACAATTGACCAGGGAACCCGCTGGCAAAATTTTGATGCCAGAGCTTGCTTGATTACCGAGCTGAAACACACCTCACACACAGGGACTGTCTCAATATGCGTTTTTGCATTTGCATATATGCAAAAACGCATAAAAAGCCGAAACGGTACACAAATAGCGATTTCTTCATTTACCACTGCAAGCCGTCGATCCGCCAAGATTGCTGTTTGCTATATACGGGAGGTCAAGAACATTAGCCTGCGTGAAAATCAACTTTCTTGGGTCAGAAGATCTCAGCTCAGTTGCCTGCCACATGAGGAAATGCAACCTCAAAGCTTCAAACATCCGTCTTGCAAATTAGTCACATGTCCTTTTAATACATGACGGGTGGAAGGCTGTACTGACGATTTCTACTCTTACCGCATGCATAGTCCGGTCTGTGTTTACAACTAAAGGATGAAGCACAAACTGCATCATAAAATATCACTTTAGTAAATCTAAAGAATGAAAGACAATTTGCATCGTTAAATACCACCTTACACATGACGACTGAATACAATCCTTCTGGTCTATTATTTCAATGTTATAAATTGTCTCGGCCTATAGTTAGCCATTAGACAGTGCAAATGAGTAAATGGTCAGAGCATGACAAGCTTTATGATTTTTTAGGGGGCTTGAGTGCTAGAAGTTGAAGGTTCGATTCCAGAAGTCAGATAATTTTTTTACGATTCGCTCATTCGTTTCGAAGGTACACTCCTGCTGTGATGTTGGGATGTGTTTTTTCAAATGTTGAACTTTTGCGTTCCAATATTTATTAGCACATTCAGGGCATTTTTTTTTTCAGGATATGGCATTTTCGGTGAATTTTAATAAACGAAATAAAAAAACATCTTAAATAAAATTCCTAGTAAAATGTTGAGCAGTCAAGATTATCAGTTACACTGCTTTTGTGAATTGGATAGAGGGGCAAGAAACAAAAAAAAAGCTAACAATTAAAAAATAAAAAGCTGTTAACTTTTTAAACGAAAATTTTCAAACGTTTCTCTAAACGAAAGGTATCTAATGCTACTTTAACCCTCTTCATTTACTGTTTCTTTATCCGTGTTGCTCTACTACCTTTATTGAACGAAAATACCTGAACGACGAGGATTCCAGTAAGTGAAGTCACATTCAATGGTGTATCGACATCAAATCCTGGTCCAGCTGCCCTCAGTGGCACACGTCTGTTCATCAACGGTGAAACATGCAGCCTGTCTAACAAATCCCCGCGCTCGTGGCCTAGCGAGAATCTGTTCGCCTGAAAATTTATAGTTAGGTCTCATATTCGGAAGTTACAGTATCAGTTCGATGCAGTTTTGAACGATTTAAAGTAAACAGAAATGTGCTCAAACGCGGTATTCTGAACAGTGCAAATTGGCTCAGCTAGCTAACATTAGCAAGGATAGCCCTGGACGGAAGTGATGAGCTTCGGACCGAGGCACCGGGTTTTTCGCCATACGTGTGAGACCATCTGGACTGCCTTTCATGCGACCTAACTCCTGCATCTATACCGGCCCAGTTGCGGTATTCCTGCGCCGAGAAGATGTCATCGATTGTTCGACCATAGCTCGCAGCAGCACCACCCGTACCGAAGCGCATTCGACTGTCTGAAATGAGTGAATTTTGAAGTTTCCAAGTCCATTTTAAATCTAGCTTATTTTTTAGCACTATCTTCAGATTTGACATCCAAAAGACACCAAAAATTGATCCACAGGAAAAGTTACTTTCATAACTAATTAAATGAGAAAAATTCTCTTAAGCACGATTGTAACAGCGCCACTGCGGACAATTAAAGATCAAGAACAAAAACTACATCGGCTAACAAAGATGCAAAGCTCAGGCTAAG